CCTTCAAGTGCTCCGACTCTTTCACCTTTCGGTTCCATCGCCATTTTCCTGGGAATTCAGTTAACTGCAAACCAATGTCAGAGTGTGACATGATTTGCGGCCAATGTCCAAGATGGAACTATGATATGTTTTCCTTTTATGCTGGTTGTGAATAGTTGATTCAATCTGCTTCCGGGTGACAGCAACCGACATCCGCGAACAAATTGATAGTCTAGAACCCCAAATCTGCTATGAAGGGGCGAAGGAGGGGGGATGTATATTATATATATATAGGCGGCAAGCGACCGAAAGGAAAAATACGAAGACCCACAATAATCTATCGTTCATATTTCTATTCACTGTTTCCTCCAATTTTAATGTTAATCCCTGAGGAGAGATGAGATACTCATATGGATTGGCTTGTCTCAGTTCGCAGCCTCCTGATCTGATTGATCTGCAGCGGTCTTGTGGGCCAGCTGACCTCGGCGTCCATAGACGTCACCGCTCCGGCCACGCTCGGTGCCACGCTCGGTGTGTCGCGGCGCCATCAACCCCTGCCCAAAGGCTCCCCAGAAACAGGTGAATTGGGATGAAAACACATGAAAACACACTGGTGTCCTTTCCCTAGCTGGATAGTCCAGACATGGTCCACCTTCCAGGCTTGGACCCTACCGAACCATGCATCCGACGGCCTCCACCTCCCCGCACCGCACCTGGCGGTGCTGTGGGGTGCTTGGGCCCCCGGGTGCCCAACTCGAGCCTGGCGGGCCAGGTGGGCTCCCGTCGTTCCGATCAAGCGAGTGGACCGGCGAATTAGAAGAAACCCATGGTCTGGCAAGTCATCCAGTCTCAGACCATGGGGCCGTGGATGATGCTGAAAGCAGGTTCTGCAACGAGTTTTCGACCTTAGGTGTGTCTGTGTCGGTGCCAGTTTCGAGCTCCTGCCTTTTTGGAGGTTCCTCCCCAGAAACCCATCCAAAACAAAACCTACTTCTACCAGTATTACCAGCATGCCAGGTCACCAATGGTTCGACCGACCTGCTGGGCCTCTTGTGATGCTTTTGGTCAAGCCTCTTCACAAAGGTCTCCACCTAGCCTCTTCCCTCCACCCCCTCCGTCCCCACAGGGCGCCCCCACAGCGCAATGCGCGCCAGCCGCAGCCAGCGCTCGGACCGTTCGGCCGCGACGCGTGCCGGGTGCCTCGGACGGTGCCGAAAGCACTGAGTGTCGACATGGAATCAACATGGATCTCCAAGCCCCTCGCGATGTGGAGTGTAAGAAAGCTCTGAAATGGCGGGTGGTCAGATGGAAGTCAGAAGTGATGTGAACCCCCTCAACACACACTCTGTTTCTATTCGGTTGGGGGGGGCCACTACATGGTGCCTCCTGTCAGTGGGTCTAGTGGCCAGCACCTCTCCCTGCAGCTTGACCGCCAGGAAGCAGATGTTGTCACGGTTCGATTCGGAGAGGGTTGGGGCTTTCAGCCAGTGATGTGCTAAAACCGTGAAGACAAAAGCCAGACCTGCACCAAAGCTACTCTTGTCCATGGACTGCTCAAAGCTAGCAAATCACTACATTCTGCTATCGAAGGTAGAAATCCACCCTTTGAAAAAAATCCACTTCCAAACCCCCAGATACCACCCTAAGGATGACTAACCGGTGGTACGGGTGTGTTTTTAAACCACCCCTTAGGCTCCAAACACCAGGGTCGCTGTGTCAGATTATAATGGTCCGTATAAGCTTATACAATGGCTGGAGGCAGGGTTTTTATCTCGGAAAACAAACATTCAGACAATTTTAGCAACACATAACAATACATAATGCAAACAATAGTCGATAAGAGTAGTAGTATATAATGATTTAATGCAAGCGCTGAGTTTGAGCCACATCAGTTGGCGAAAAATCACATCACTGCGTAGCACACCGCATTGGAAGGAAGTCACATCAGGTGGAAAGAATGGAAACCCTAATGGCACAGCGACGCCCAAGCAGGTCTTTACAAAGAAGAAAGTTTGCAAAATCCTTGCCTATAGTTCGGAACGTGCTATTCCTGAGATTTCCTGAGTATATAAGTTTTGTAAGATCTATGATCTATGTCATGTAAACCCTGATGGGTAAATCCATCACATGCACATTTGCAAAGATACTGCTCATCTCCTGATGCAGGAAGTCTCTGTCATCAACTTCAGTCACATCAGGGTCACATCAGGTTCCTGTTTACAAGGTGATTGCTGATGCTTTCCGACTGCCAGAATCAGCAAATGGGGAAGTAACAATTGCTTACGCGATGCTTACCGAATTGCAAACCCCAAGGCGAATGGCCGAATTGGGGTTTGTATCAAATCAACTCATATCATTCCAACTCCTCTGCGGAAGCAGAAGCAGCAGCACACAAGCAGCACACGAGCAGCCCAACACCATTGGCACCACAGGATGCGTCATGGTCTCGTCCAAAACAAGGATGGCTGAAGAAAGCGGTTCAATCACTGCTCCCTCTTTACCAAAGCAACTGCAAATACAATCTGTACATCCAATGGCCACCACAATGTTCCACTGACATCTAGTAGTGCTAAACAGCTCCTTTGCACCAAGGATCTGCTATCACTGAGACCGATGCAACAAAGGTTCGAGCACCGCATGGGCACAGTACATTAACATCAGTTCACAGCACACACATGACATAGCAACAATAAACATCCGTAGACAAGTGCCCAAGGGTACACCATTTTGATATGACAGTCCTCTAGCTGATACGACTTAAAGCGAGGCCCCAGTAACATTCTTATCAATCGAAGAGCTTCGGAAGGCGGCCCGGCCCCCAAGACCTCCCCCCAGCGAAAACATCTCGACTCCAAGGTGCTCCTGAGTGAGCTCCTGACAGTGCGTTTGACTGGTCCAGGAGTTCAGCTGCTCTACAGGACCACAGGAGGCGGGGAAGGTTTCACTTACGTTCGACCAAACCAGTCCGCCAGCCGTACTGGCCTTGACCCAGTGTGATCTTGAGATCACCATTGACCTCCTCCCTCCGGCCTCGTCTACCTCGACCTCCTCAGCCGGAGCACCTGGGATCCGCCCGGGTGGTGAAGATGAAGGGAAGAGAACCAGCAACACCAACAGAGGTTGAAGAGCCCTATAGACTATTCCATAGGTACCCCATTACGGTCCCATGGTCCCGGTCACTGGATACCTTTTTTTGTTGGGAGAGGTGAAGTGACTGAAAATCGGTGACACATCCACCTCGGGGTACCCAACTGGAAGAGTCCAACCGTCGGGGTTCGACTCCTTCAGTTCGAAACCGGCCCATATAGGGACTCAATAGGGCGGTGGAGACACGGAAGCTCCGGGCATAAGGCTGAGTGGCTGGGTTGGCTCAACCTCGAAGCTCGAACCATGCAAATCTGGAGTGCAAAAGGAAGCTTGCTTTGCTGCGGATTGCTGCGGGGGACTGGCCGAGCCATGCTCGGCTCCACGGATTGGCAAGAACCCTCCAAGCCTTTGCCACCCCATGACCCATTACAAATCGGACTTCGAAGAGTGAGGTTTCTACCAGGACACCCTGCTTGGGTTGCCACTTGGTGGCTACGGGGGTGTTCATGAAACACCCCAGAAACACCTCGCCCAAATGTGTTCTAATCGCAGCCAGAAACGATGGTTGATGCGACCACAGAGTTCGGGTGGTTCTTGGATGGAACATACATCGTCTTAGTCAGGGGTGTCCATCAACCACCCAAACTCCTCCTCCGTGGAGCTACCAATTTTTCACAGGAAACCGGTGGGTTACCCCAAGAGGCCGTTTCATTTTCCAAACAATCCGGCTGGTGGCCTGGAAAAGTGAGAAGGCCCCCCAGAAAAATGAGTTTGGTGGAACCCAGGGACGATTCTTCTGCGCAGATTCTGGTCTCTTCCACACCATCTCTCTCCGCCCCAGCGGCGAAGGTGTTGAATCGCCGCACGCGCGCAGGACCTGCGCAGGAACATGCGCTGGCCATGATGGAACATGCGTTCGTACCAAACAGCCTAGCTTCTCACTGGTGAAAGAAGACTTATTTTTCGGACTGGGGCGACATGCTAGCTTGAGATGAGCAAGTTAGGAAGAATAGGACTCTCCCGCTGTGTTCGGACAGTTGAAACAGTCCACCAAAGAAGAAAGTCATTCACTGCTTGTCGCGACGTGTATATATATGGAACTATACTGTATGCGGAAACGCTGCACCGGGTCCACTCCAAATGAAATTCTTCCTTCTAGACTATACATGGGAATCATCATTCGCGATCGATTTCTACTGCAGCCAAGGGACACAGTCCGTTTTCCTGAGCAGGAAGGCCCCACCCAAACACAGGACAGCTTGAGGACTAGCACCCAAATGACCGTAAATCCCCGGAATCCGGACTCATGTGCTTAAGCACTAGGCTGATGATGCTCACTGTTCACGGCTCCTTTGCCCAGTCACGCCAGTCCGAGGTGGCTCCCCTCTGTGGCGAGGGGGTCTTGCAGGGCGATGGGCTCCGGGTCGGCCCAGCCCGCACGACCTGGGCGGCGTGAGGCCGCCGTGCATCGACCCCGTCGTCGCGGAGAAACGGCCGCCGCCCCTGAAACGGCCGGTGGAGAAGGGCATCGGAACCCAAGGAGGAGGACATCCCCACATGGCTCGATCAACTGGCATTACTCCGTATAGGTCCACCTGCAATTTGCTACTTGGAGCCAAGGGTTTGCTACCTGGACAAGAGTCCACCGGCAAGCATCTTCAAGTTGCCATAGTTGGGTGTCAAACAAGTGGAGCATGCAATTTCTGATGTGAGTGCAGGAATGCCCTTCGTAGCAGAAGGAGCGTGTCTCACAAAGGGGGGTCTCTTGCTTATTGCGCTCAGAATTGGTACTTCAAAAAAACAGGGGTGCCCTTCCCTTCCTGATAAAAAATGGTGGATACCACCGACATGGTCAATTGTGAAACGTGAAACGTCATAACCTGCACATGGATGCGTTGGTGCGAAGGCCAGCTTGCAAGGAACACATGAGTCCACCTGAAAAATCCTGAAAATAGAAACCGTCAGGGGATACCCCGCAAAAAATGGCGGCTCTCTGCATCCCCCCCCACCAGGTCATCGCCAATTCCTTGTCGTGTGGCAGCCTGTTTGATTGTCAAGCTCCTGTGGCCATGGCTTGCAACCCTGTGGAACACTTGCCATGGTGCTGCGTGGAGCGTCATGTCTCTAATTCTTCGGGGTCCGCGCGAGGTTGTTTCGCGCTGAAGGGCCCTCAGAAAAGTCTATGGCTCATTGGTTGCCAGGGCCTTCATTCTGTCAGAACCAAACCCGTGCTACTGTCAATGTAGGATCTTGACTAATAAACCAAAGAAAACCTTTTTTGAAAACCAAAAAGCCGCCATCTATTTACATGCTTTGCGCACCACCGGCCGAGCCTCGCGCAGTCTGCTGAAATTTGATGGTGTTCAGATGTGTTCAGCCAGCCCCCAGACGTTGGATTTCTTGAGCTAGCCCCATCTGTATACAGTAACGTACTCTGGAGATACCGCCACCCCCTCCGTCCCTCCTTGGCCGCGCCGTCTGCCGTGGCCGCGACGGCTTCCTCGGCTGCAGGTCTTCCGGCATCTGGACGCTGGCCAAAGCAGCAGCCAAGTCGAAGAACCTCCCGTTCGACCCGGCCGGGGTCTTCTTCGGCACGAAGGACCGAACGATCTGTGAACGCTTGGAGCGGAAAAGGGCCGGTTTTTTATGGTCCTAAGCCACTCCCACCCAAGCTACTCCCCACATCTCCCGCCCTATTTGTGGCTCCTTCCTCTTCTCCCACGCCTGCTGGGCGTCGGTTTCCGCCGCGCTGCCGACAGCCCAGACCCGGCGGCGCGCGGCAGCCGCGCCCGGGCGGCCGCCATCGACGGCCGCGGGGCAGAGCGCGGCCGAACACGGCGCGTGAGTGGCGGAAGAGCGGGTGTTTTTGGTGTGCTCTGTGTGTTGGTTTTGGTTGTTTTCGTTTCTTTTTGGACTAACAGAATGTGTATATATATATATATGAAAATGAGTCAGTCCTGCAAAATGATGTCAGTGAGAGCGGTTTATTTCCCATCCAACGTTGCTGTGCAGAAGTTGGGAACACGCGTGCAAGTCTTCTCGCTGTCCAAGTCAGACACTTCACCACCTTCTTGGGTCTCTGGAGATGCCATATCTTTGGGTTTGCGGCCGGGGCATCCATACATGACGGAGCCTGAGTGAAACAGCTGCAGGAAGAGAACCATGGATGCGCCATCCCCACACCCCCATGTGACCCCCAAACAAGGCTGGTCACCGCCTGGTTGAGTGAATCGACCTCAAGAGGGCGAGGCGACTGGGCACCAAACCCGAACTTGCGGTCAAATCGGTGTGGAGTCAAAACAACCCCCAAACAAGCAGAAAGAGCTCCGAAAACCAAAATTGCTGTGGGCCACAGGTGTCCACTTTTTCCTGACTGGTCCAATCTGTTCCATCGCTTTCTGACTGGTCACACCCACCTCCTTTGGGCCCTCCACGGCACCGAACCTGCCTTGGCACGAACTCCGCGCTGTAGGAGTTCCTGGCGGTGCAGGCCCGGTGTTGGCTCCCCAGAGTGCTCCCCAGTGGGGCGGGACCAAGCCGTCCATCAATGGGGAGGAGAAGAAAAGCAGGCTGCGGTGTGGAAAGGAGGAGTGCTAAGGAGTGAATGGCATCCGTTTTTGAGGTGGAGTCCCCCCAAAACGGTTGAGATTCGCCTGTCGAGCCACCTCACCTGCAGACCAGAAAAGCATGAAAAGGAAACGGTCAACATGTCGACTCAGCATACTCAGTGCCATGATGCTCGCCCTGTTGTGCAGCATGCTGAGGCCGCCGCTGACCCCGGACCTGCCGCTGGCCACGGGACGCACATCGGGCTGAGAGGGTATTTTTGGGGTCTGAAGAGCGGTCACAGTGCTGGATCACCGGTCGAAAAGTGGCAGCCCAGCAGAGAAGCTGCATGCTAGAATACTTCGGCCCAACGCACGGATACCAACCATCTAAGGCCCGGAGCCTTCAAAGAGGTGCAACCTCGTGTTTCCCTACTGCCAGCCATCCTCAAGTACAAAGAGCATGTGAAACATCAAGCAAAATATGCCATGTTAACAGTAGTCTTGCCGATGTGATTGATCTCATCCTTCTCTCTCCTTCCCTCTCCTTCCCTCTGGCCCGTCCACATCCATGGCACCCAGATGCTCCACCAGATGCCACACACCGCCCCGGAGCGGCGTAACCGCCACGTCGCCTTGGCCTGACCGAGGCCCAGTCGGCCATGCCCTCCATGGCCCCAGGTGTAGACCTGAGCCGATCAGTCCCTCGGGTGGGCTCTTGATGAAACAGGTCCATCTCTTGATGAATCAAACTTCCAGGTCCATGATGAAGATGGTTTCGGACGCATTAAGCCTAGAATATCATCTGCCTAGAATATCATCTAGAGTCCACCAGCATCATCGGAGTGGTTCTTGGAGATTCGGACAGAACTGCCTCGCAAGGAACTGCAATGCTTCGGGAAGAACTTCGTGTAAGTCCAAAAACACCCAGGACCTCGCGGCATAACTGCTTCCCCTCTAACACATCCGTGCTAATACTTTACACAACGGGTTCAGAAGGTTTTCCAACCCGTCCCTCTCGCCCTCAGCTGTTCCCACGTTCCTCCGCGGTTCCAAGCGGCCGCCGTTTCGCCCCCGGCCTGGCCCTTGTCGGTGAGGGCGACCGAATGCTTGGTGCCGGCCGCCACCTGCGTTCGGTCCACCGGTCCCTTTTTGGGCGGCTCTGCTATGTCCAGGTCAAGATCCCAAAGAATGATGTAGCTACAGCTTTTGGGGGGGATCATGACAGTTCCGAGGAAAAAAACATGTTGAAAAATAAGCAATAACTGGTGCCTTTTTAACCTAAGCATGCATACTTTTGGCATACAAAGGTCGCTCCAGGGGCAAACGGACAAGCCTGCTCAAAAAAGGGAACCAGACCCCATGTGGTTGAGAAAGACCGAACAGGAATGCTGCCACTGCCAGGCCGACTTGTTACTCTAACCTCGTCGCTGATCTTCTGTGCCTCGGAGAGTGTCCACATCCCTTGGCGGTTCCAACGTTCCAACACGTTGATCTCTCAACGTTCGTGGTGATCTTCTACCCGGGTTTGGTCCAAAATCTGTTGGGTGCAGGGCACCTCCTTGAAACAAGCAGCACTCAAAACACTTGGCCTGGTAGACGAAGGTGAGACGCCTGTGAGCCGCGTCAGTCTGAAGCCCCGACGACGCAACAAAACGGCAAGGCACTGCTGCAATCCCTTCGCCGCAAGTCACAGCTCAAAAAAACGACCAAACAGGTATCAAAACACCTGTTTTTTGTCCATGTTGGTCTTCAGCCTTCGGGGTTGATTAGCTCAAGGATGTGGAAGACCATCCACAATGTCGAAGGTCTTGCGACCCAAATGCCAAAGCTTACTGGCGCTACTATATACCTCAGCCAGTTCGCAGCTCCCCCCCTGCTTGGCGCCTGTGCGCTTCCGCATCCTCGGCAACAGGATGCACCATCCAGTCAGGGCAAAAGGGGAATCCAACGGAACAAGGGAAGTGTCCGACACCAAAAAGCACAGTCAGCAAACCAAATCAAAAGGGTGTCGCAGCAAGTGGCAGGTGCTTCGGGTGGCCGTTTCGGCCGTTCTTTGCGGGTCTACGAGTCCAGAGCGAAGGCAGGGCGAGCCCTGGGACTCCCGGCATCCTCAGGAAACCACACTTCCGTGGGGGTGTGGCAATCAGCCCACGACCCGATGCCTAAGGCGCCATAGCTACCTCGGCGCGCTTGGCGCGCACGGAGAAAAAGAACGACCAAGCACCTCATCTTGGATGAGCTCCCTGAATCGGGGCAGAGTGTGAAAGTACTGCTGTTCCCCTGGAAATCATTGTGAGCTCCTCTGTGTCCCATTTTGGGGGGCACTTTCACACTTCTTAGCATGCACACACACTGGTACACACTGCCTCTTCCCTCCCATCCACGCCCACGGCCCGCTTTTTTCGGCTGCTCTTGGAGGCAACTCCGCTTTTCCTTCAGCGGCCCATGTGTCAAAGCGCCGCCGCAGTGCCTCGGCGCCTTCCGCGCGCAGCCGCGCCTTGTTCTGCAGCAGCAGCGAGAGCGCACCCGGGCCGGGCTCACCGCGCCGTAGCCACTCGGCACGGGCGGCATACAGGTCAGACGCACGCAGGAGCTGCAAAGTGGGCCAAGGTGCCTGAGTTGCTAAGTGGGCCAAGGGTGGTGTGGGTATTCCAGCTGGAAAGGACAAAGTTACTATTGGCTGTACACGTTCCTATCCTCGAAATGCAACTTGGGATGCTATGATCAGTTCATATTCACTCAACAAGGATCAGACCGCAGTTTCAAAAACCCTCGCAAACTGCCTGGTCAGGTTCATTCATGTCAGCCGTTTCATGATCCAAGATTCTAGATGAGCTCTTCCGGTTGCATTATGCATCACAAGTCTTCCACTTCGCAGCTTCTTCCAAGGTCACATTGCTCCAAGTTCCTGCCCCCGCCCAACCACTCCCCAAAAAAAGATCCATCTAAAGCCTTTTCTCAAAACCCCCACACCCCGCCCTCGTTTGAGGCGCTCCCCTGCCCGACAAAGAAGAGGCGCTCGCACCGAGAAGTGCCCCGCGTCGCGCGGATGGGCGCGACACCCGGGGCCCCGGTCTTCGCGACAAGGGTGGAACGCCAACAAATCCAGGTCCTCCTAGGTGAGAAGGTGTGAGACGTGCGCATTGGTGGAGGCCGAACAACAAATCGCTTTTGGAGGGGTTTTGTGAGGCGTAGGCATGGAAGTGGCTTGTCCACACAGAAGTAGCGCGGTGTGAAATCTGATCAGATCTGTCTGCCAAATGATCCCGCCATATTTTGTGTGCATCACTTTTGCAGCTATCTGCCCAACCCTGTCATCCTCACACTTGAAAGCACCTGAAATGAGAGAGGCGAACAGCCCCCACCGTTTTCCCCCTTTCACCGTTTTCGCGGTGTTCGAGAAAACCGTGAGCTGTGTCAAATCCAAGCGCTTTGTATCCGCAGTTTTCGCCGTTTTCGCGGTTTTCGCGTTCTCGCGTGGCCTGCCCCCGCATCACCGGGGGCACACGTTTCGTATGTACTTCCCCCCCCCGCGTTCCACACACGGCGGGCCGCTCCGTCCCGGTCCGGTCCTGCTGCGACTTCGCCACGTCTCGCCAGAGCTGTGAAAACGTCACCAGCCCCGCTGGACCGGCGAAGTCCTGGCAAGCGAACACACACACACGCGGGGCGGCGGGATGCGAGGCGGAGGCCGCGAGGCCGAGACAGAGGCCGGGACGTTTTCAGACATGACTTGGCTGGAGACCGCTGCTGGCTTTGCTTTGGGGTCTGTTTCAGGTTCTTGGGGCATGGCCTTCTCTCCAACCAGGGGCCTCAAAACGAGTGGATGCGCTTGAAGACCTCGCTTCTAAGAATTGTCGCTCTGGAAATGAAAGACTCCGGGCTTTCTGAAGACTGATATGCAGAAGATGTTCCAAGTGGTCGGAAGCCGGCGGCTACAGTTTTCTCCACTTGTCCTGTTGGCTCCCGGCTTTCAGAACATGTTTCAGAATCTTCACGCCTTTTTGATCTTCTTGATACACCAGAACTCATGCACAAAAATGCCACCACGGCCGTCAAATCATCACAACATCTACCAACAAAAAACATCAACAATCAACTCACCTCAAGGGCCGACCTTCCGGAAGGTCGGACATATATCCCCGCCGCCCGCCCGCCCATTTCCCACCGGTCGTCAGGTCCGGATGGGAGAACACCACGAGGGTCGTCGGCCATGCAGCTGAGGTGTTCCGGAGCCGCTCACCCTCGACACCTTAGAGGTCACGTGGGCCCACAAGGACGTTCGTCTTTTGCCGAAGTTTCGAAATGGATTTGGTCAAGACGTCAGCCGTCCAACCGTGGGCCTCGGTGGCGCCGTTGTGGAACCAGTGGAAGCAATTGGCTCCTTTTTTCCAGAACATGTGCTGGGCTCAGTCATGGGAACGGGTGTCTTTTTCTTACACAGTGAGGGGCAGGAGCCCTTCCACTGAGGGTCAAGTTTCCTGTGTCAGAGATTTCTTTTGTACCCCATCGGGTTGGAAGCGGCCCCATCGTCGTACAAACCCATACGAGACTAGCGAATCAAATGGGAGGATCTCCAATGAGCACTGCAAGTCTACGGCCGTAAATAGAACCTACACATGTTACACAAATCTTGGACTGGCACCCACCTGGCCATGCCTCTAAACCACTTCCGCACAACACACGCCTCCACCCTCCACAAACATCTCATTCCCCCACCACTTCCGCACGGCCTCCGCTCTCCTTCCGCGCCCCACCCTCCTCGCCACGCGTCGGAGCCGCCGCACGGCCTCCGAGGCCTCCACCTGGCCCCACCGCCCATGCACCAGGCGCTGCTGCGCGCGGGCCGCCCACGGGCATAGCCCAGGCGACGCGGGCGACGCCACGACCAGCTCGGAGATCCAGCGCTGGGTGCCCCGCAAGACCTGCGCGGTGCGGGCACTGCTTCGGGGGAAGAAAATTCGATGGGAAAGGCCCGATGAACACCTTGGTGGTGCGGAAACCAATTCTCGGAATGATGGATGTCGGAAGAGACCAGCGAATGTGTCATTGCTGGGTCCGGAGGTCACCGTACTATGGCCCAAATGAAACGCAACAACACAGCCACATGAGTTGGAAGGTCACAGAAGAAATGCATCAGGTGCAGAAATTGGAACTATTCCGAACCATAAAGGAAGCACAACTGTTTGAAGTCTCATGAATGCGCAACTAGGATCCAACGATGTGGATGAGGCACCAAAAATCCTCCAAGCCGCCGGATCCTCAGCGCCCAAAGTTGCCGGGCGCGTCCCGCGTGAAGAGAAGCAGTGAGGCGTAGCCTCCATTGACGTGGCACTTTTGGGGTCGTTTCACTCGACTCCTTGGGGCGGCACGGGCCAAGTAAAGAAGTAGGTGCTCGGCAGCAGGTACAGTGCATGGGACCCCCGAACCCAAAAAAAGACCCTAGGCCCTATATATAGATAGTAGATCCCCGATGGCTATACCGGTCACCCTGGTCCAAGCATAACACTGGTCCTATTTCAGGGCCTTCGGCAAGCAGGGAACACATCACCTGCATGCCGGCTACCAGGGATCTGATATCGACTGCCTGACTGCAGTCGGAGCCAGCCTTGAAGAACTCATAGCCCGCCACCCACAGGGCACAAAACAGTGGCCAGTCTTTCAGCCAAGGACGCATTCGATACTGAGCCGGAATGGCACTGGCGACGGTCGACTTGATATCTCCATGATCATCCATGATCCAACCATTTGAGAGGCCGACCACCATGTTGGGTCGCGGTTTGTCAACGCGCTTTTGTCTGATGAGCATTGATTCTCACCAATGCTGAACTATCTGGAGGTTTTGGCCCATACCTCCACACCTACCCTCCAAACCTCCTCATTTGGCCCTCCGAGCTCCAGACCCAAGCCCCAGGCGAACAACCGCCCGGCCTCCGTAAACGAAGCACCTCAGTGTCTGGGACCACATCGCTTGGGTGTGGGCGTCGCGGGTACCACATCGCGGGCACCATTCAGGCACTCGTTGAGATCGGTTTCGCGTGGTGGATGGGCACTCCTTTAGCCAACGCCCCGCCACCTCGGCCGCATCACCGCCACACCTTTTCAGCGGACGGCGCTGCTACTGTCTCTCCCGGCCACCGGCTCCGCGGAGCTCAGTCGGTGACCCTGGGAGCAAAGGCACGGAGAGAAGGCACGAAGCCACCCTAGGGCCCTCGCCCGAGAGCCCTTGGAGAGCCCTTGGAGTCCGGAAAACGGACGATTTCTCCTGTCAGTGACTAGGACCATAGAGGTGTTCTTTCGACTAACCCGAAGCAGTCCCAAGCCTTCGGTCACGAATGCGACCTTCCATGCAGTGATGAGTCTTGTCAACGACCGCCCCGCCTTGCACTCCCGGTACAGCATCACCACCTCATGGTGGCACATCGCCACATCAAAAACCTTAGGCACGCCCGCCAAAGCAGAAGGCTCCAGACCTTCAAGAACTCCAAATCCATACCCTCCATGGAATCAGGTGGCACCATCATCCACTTCCATGATGATTCCGGGGAGTGTAGAAATCCTCAAAAAAGCTGGGTTTGGCGTTGAATGTTGAATCTCGGGGCCTGTATGCCCAAGATTGGACTCCAATGTTCTAGATTCTAGATTTTATCCATCGAGAATTTACTCGAGCCAACTATGTCAAAGAAGTTGCAACTGTGTCCAGCGCATGGAGCCCCCCCTTTTTTCCCACACCAGGGTCATTTTCCAAGTCGCGTGGTTGGATCTTTCTCGAAAGTTCCGGCAGCAGCGGCTGACCACATCCTTCAGCACGGTATGCGACTGCATCAGCTGATCATTCTGGACCTCATCCATCCTGGCCCGGCCAGGCTCCGGGTGCCGGGTGCCAGCGTCAGGAACAAGCAGCCGTGGAATTGGGAGATGTGCGGACTCTTCGGCCTTTTCTGGCCTCCTCGCTGCAAAAAGGGGAGAAGGGCAGCACAGCTTTGCATGGGGAGAAGGGAGCCGATCATAAGAAGATGTTACTGGGCGGTGGGTCACAACTGGTTCTAGGGCTCCGAGTCTTGATCCGTCCCCACAATGTGGAAATCCTCCTTGCCTCACGAGATCAGCCCACGAGTCCACCCATGTGCTGGTCGGCCAGCGAAGTCACCAACGGTCTGGGTTTGGCCGTGCCCTATATCTCCGTTGAGCCGCCATATGGGAACCAGGTGTGTCGTCTGCGGAGTGAAGGGCCGTTCCTTGTTTTCATCACGTCAGGGCACTCGGAGGCGCACGCATACGCGTCCAATAGTCACTTCGCCATCTCCAGGCACCACTCCCCCCCCCACCTACACTCCCCCCCCCCCCGCGGCACGGCTTGCAGCTTCAGTGTCCAATAATCGTAACACTTCAGCCGTAGCTCCTTCCACTGCTCCTCAGTGCCCCGGCGCCACACAGCAACCATCCCGAAAACACATCAATTCGAGAGGGAAAGTTCCACCTATGGACAGGGTTCCCCTTGTCACTTGATGTTCTGTCCCATGCGTTGGGAGTTGCTCCACCTTTTGAGGTACACCCCGGAAGACTAACATGGAACCTGATGGCATGGACCTTTGGAAGACTATTTTCCTCTACAACCCAGTGGATGTTCAGGTTCTATGTCAATCTTCCAGGGCGTAACCTTTGCCTCTGGGGGAATGCCCCCCCTCTTGTGCCATCCATGGCTCCATCAGGTGCTGCTGCTGCGTGTGGTTCAGGCGGTCCGACAGCAGCTGCTTGTGGATCTCCGCGAAGCAAATGGAGAGATCCCAGTTGAGAGTTGAGTTGAGATAATTACAGATCACTCCCTGCTTATGCCCTGGAAGAGACCGAACCTGTAAACCACTGGGACTGTGGAGGTCCATGGTCATCAGGTTCCAGGCGGCGTCTCTTCCCGGCTGTTTGATCGATTCACTGGTCATCAGGTGTGACCCAGGTGGAGGGGGAGGCGTCAGGCAACAATGGCCCAATGCCTTGGGATCTTGGGACACCCCAGAACAGCTAAGATGACGATGACGGTCGGTGGAGTCCTTATCCAAAGGAGTTCTTGCGATTCTTGCGGTGAAGCTAGGCTCTAGCCTGCGACTCCCCAAAAGCAAACAGCAAATGTTGGAGGAAGCTCCTCATTGGTGCAAGAAGATCCCGTCTATAAGTTGCTCTTCTCGCTCAGGGTTTAAGTTAAGGCAATTGCAACTATGCGAACATGACAATGATTGCATTGGCCTTTCTCATTGCTCTACGTCAAATGGTCCCATGTACCTTCCAAAAATTGCAATCCTACTGGACTTGACATGACTTGACCAGCCTGTTATTCCCCACTCCGTCCTTGGCTGAAAGCTTCGGAAAAGCCATGTCGCCCCTACCTGTTGCCCGCACCTGCCATCTCAAAAGAACAACGCCCTCTCCACCGTCTCCACCGCACAAAAGGCAAAGAAAACATCGGTTTTCCCGGTCGCCCAGCACCCGCCCCAGCACCCGCGCCTCGTGACCGGTGCGGGCGCCCAACTTCCCCAACAACTCCTCATCCCTCTGGTAGTCGTAGTTGGTGCCTGGTCAGGTTCGGCTTGAAGTGGGCCGTTGGAGTGGAGCAGAGTGCATCCGTGCACGAAAAGGCTCAACTATCTCAACTCTACTGGAAAGTTTGAACAAGTGATTCGTCGCCAGGCGGCGAGTGATTTGTCGCCACACCTTCTTTTCAACCGAAAACCGCTCCGGCCCGCATGTGCCCAAGCGGCTAGCAGCTTATCCCTCAGAATGGACAGAACAGAGGCACATGTTTGTTGTTTGACATGTTTGACCCCATAGTTCAAGCCACCACCACCTGGTCGGTAGGTGGTGTCGAAGTCCGTCTTGGAGAAGTCCATCGGCAAAAATCGGCTGCAGAGTACTGCAGCTTTGTTTTGTGAGGTAGAGTGGGACGTGGTTGGAAGGGGGTGGTTGCTAAGGTCTTTCACCTTGAGAACTGGGCCATGGTGGGCCTACGGAAGATCATGGAACACATCGATGATCAGGTGGTTCGACCAATGGACTGAAGGCAAATGGGCTCGGGCTCATCTCTGGCCATAGCTTAAGCCTACAAGCTGCAGGGGCAGCGAATAGCGAGCCAACCTTGATGCTCCCCGATTTGGTGGCAAAGAATGCACTGTTTCCCTCAATGTGCCTGATTTTATGTTAGCCCCCCCCCTTGGATAGAAGTTTGTTAGGTCAAATGTTGCTCTCGAGGCATTCTTCCTCCAGCTTGCCCCTGCACCCAACAACCTCTGAGCTCTTTTTGATGGGCGCGTGCAAGAGCGTCCCGTTCAACTGGGCATCCTTGGATGCCATTTAAGACGCCGCGTTTGGTTGCGACAAGAAAAGGGCGAGACGCCAGAAACGGGGGAGGTCCAAAAAGGACCAATAAACATGTAGCAGCGTCACCATTGCAGCGCCTGAAGACGAGGCTGAATCAACAAAGGGCACCTGCATGCACCTGCCTTCGTCCCATATGAGACCCTGCACAAAGGCCGAATGGCTTTGACCCACCGGAAAATGTTGCAAGCATTCTTCACGATCTTCACCACCCATCTTGTCCTGCTATTCCGTGCCTGTTGTCTTTCCACAAGGAATTGTTGAAGGGTTCCCCTCTCTTTGAGACACCCCCCACACTGATGACCAACTGCGCCTCAACACCATGCACCCCAAAAGCCTCCATCATCTTCCACACCCGTCGCCGGCCCGTGGCCCCCCTTTCAACCTGGCTCCGCCCTGGCTCCACTCACCGCTCCCTCCCGCGTGCCAGCAGCGCTTCACTCCTCGACGTCGAGGTCCACGAGACGCTGGTGGATACGGGCTCCAACCGCGCTCCTGGCGCTCCGAGAAGGTCTGGGGATGAGGGGTGATGGAAGAATCAACGAGACGAGACTATGTCCAAGGATGCGATGGATTCATCCTGGAGGTCTGCCTGTCCTTTCAAGTCAGTCGCTCTGATTGCTGAACGAATAACCTGATGCTTGGGCTGCTTGGGTGGAGGGTGGTGCTCTCCTGCCAAGTGGGGTTGCGCCCAAATGCGCTATTTAGTAAATATGACATAAATCCATGCTGTGAAAGCCTACCTTCTTTGGTGAACCGTGCAGATTCCAAGCACCATGTCTCAGAGAACCTCTGCAGCTGGGGGTCTTCCACCAGTCTTCACATCCTCCCCTCAGTAGAAAAAGGCAATCCCCAAACCATCCTCCAAAACGTCCAATCCAAAAGAAAATGGTTGCTTGAACTGGGACAAGAATCCCTAATTCCAACCATCCAAACGAGAATTCACCGTCAGAGCCCAGTAGGTGTGACCCCAACTGTTTGCGGAAAACCATTGAACACCATACACCAATTCCACACGCTCCAAATCCAAACGCTCCAAGCGACTTCCCCCTTGTTACTTTCAGGGTGGGTAGGTGAGTGGGTGGAAACACCACCCCCTTCAACTCCCCGGTCCGGTCCCCCAGGCGACTCCCCCGGTGCACTCCAGGACTTCACATCGACCGGCCGCTCCACCTGGTCGACACGGGGCGCCCCGGTCAGGTGCCAAATCGCCGGCTTCCGAGGCAAGACACAGGAACAAACCAAACAAACCTGAGAAACATCAAACGGAAAAAGGGGCAGAACATGCGCCACTTGAAGCACCCCAACGGAACAAGAAGGAAACCAACGCTGAAATGGGGACCTGAAGGCCCAAACGCATTAGATCAGGGTGGCTTTTTATGGACACTCCATATGACACACCCAAATCCCCACAACTTCAAGCCCTGAACACCTGAGCGCCTTGCTTCAAATTCATCGTCGCTCTCCATCTCGGCAAGGCTCTGGAAGATCTGCGCCGGCGACGTGGGCGCAAGGGGTGCGAGACTCTCGGCGCGGCCTGGGAGGCCTGACCATGGATTGGCTATGGCTACCGGCCGTGCGAACTTAGCGCGGTGCTGAATGGCTGAATGTGATGGCTTTTGATTGGACTCCCCTGCCATGGTTCGGGCAGAGATATCTGAGCCTCAGGTAGGTCAGTGAGGAACTCTCTATGGGACCCCTTCACTTGGCAGAGTTGGCCCTCCGGATCACCAGGATACCACACATCTGGTGGCTGGTCGCCTCGATCACAACGAACGTTCGATCACGTGGAGACGTTCGTTCGTTCCCTCCGAATCCCTCGGACCAAAGGGTCATGAAAGAGGGTCATTCATTCGAAGAAGATATTGATCTTTGTGATGAATAAGACAGATGAAGAAAAGAATGCGGAATCATCTCTATTTATGTGGGTGTTCTTCATTCAATGAGATTAGTGCCCATCTGCTTCTTCGGGTCCACCTAACCACTCCACACGCGAGAACTTTCCGCCCTCCTGCCATCATGGCGGAGCGGCTTCGACCGTCCACGGACCGCGCCCCGCCTTGCGCCCCACCAGGCTCCATGAGTGGACATTGATTTCCTGTGGCAGGTGCTGCTTGTTGAAGGTTCAAGCCTCCACCTTCTTCCAGTTCCAGTGCTGTGCTTCAAACTGCAAGACCCCGGTCAAGTAATTGGACTCACCGTGAGGTGTGAGGGTCTCCCTTCTTCTCGACGAAAGCCTCAAGAATCCTCACGTCGTCTACGTGCCTTGCCTCCCGCTCGATCTCGTTCTCGCTGCTTGAGGTGTCAGCCGTGCTGGTGCTGTCAGAAGCATCCTCCGCAGTCGAAGGCGGAGGAAAAGCTCAGGGCTCCGATCCTTCTTGGGATGAGAGGAGCCTCTGCTAGATGGGTGTTCGTGTGAAAGCCACCAATTCCAAGGCTTGACCCGAGTGTTTCTGGCTGTATGATCCAAGAAGGTCAAACGGTCCGTTATATATGATATATATATATATATAATGCCCAAAAAAGAATTATGGTAATGGACCCTTGGCCGTCGGACATGGACCACCCTTCCTTGCGGTTCCTTCAACATCACTCACTCCGTTTGTTCGCCCCTCTTGGTTCTCTCTCCGTTCTCTTCCCACCTGGACCCGCTGTGGGGCCCAAGACCGCCCGCACCTCTTTGGCGACAGAGACATGGATCACTTGAGCCACCGAGGGTGGCACGTCACTGGAATCCAGTGGCGACATTCCTGGCCGGAAAAGGGCGGAAAGGGCATGGAAAACATCGCAGTTGCTTGGATTGGAAGATGATCCCCCTTTTTTCAATCGAATGAGGAAAGGGATCCTAAGGAAGCTGCAGTGGATGTAAATTCGGGGTCCTTCCCCTCATTCCCTGCCAGGTGCATGCGGGGTCAGCATGCGGCGGGCGCGCTCGCTCGGTGCTTCGCCGGCGGGCGCCTGGAATAGAATCAGACCTCGCGGGCGGCGACGGTGGAAGGAAAGAGAGGAAGACAAAGGATGAGAGTGAAAGGGAGACAGTGTCTCGGAGACAGAGTTCCTAGGACCTCAAAAGACAGACAGAGTTCGACCGACCGCTCAAAAAAAGCAGTTGAGTGTGCACATCGAGGATGCAAGCTCGATCAACTCGGGGTTGGTACAGCTTGTTTTAGATGGTGCTCCAGGTTTCCCTCCGCCCAACCATCAATGGTGGGTCGCGTTTCCGCCCAACCGAACGACGGGAGTTCAAACTTCGGGCATGCCTTGGGGTGCTCGAAGGCATATGGAACGCAGGGGACCTGGGAGCCACCAGACCGTCTCCCCCGGTGACACGGGGCAGCATGGTGGGGCCTGAGCATGACGGCATTCTGGCTTAATTGAACATCTGTCCAAACAGGCCTGGGGCTAGCTGAACACATCTAGAATCTAAGAGATCAGAGCCTCGCACATCTTACACTCAACGACCAACTCCCCAAGACTCATCAGTTCCATCTTGTTGCTACTGGAAGTGCTCCGGGTGGGTGGGGACATGTGATCTTGAAGCTTTTCGTGCCTCCCACAGGCAGACCTGCGCCATCTCCCAACCATAACTTTAGCACATCGGTGGAGGAGAAAGAAAGAAAGAAAGACTCACTCACTTACTCACTTACTCACTCACTCGCTCACTCGCTCACTCGCTCACTCCCTCACTCACTCACTCACTCACCCTCTCTCTCTATCTCTCACTCACTCACTCACTCACTCACTCTCTCTCTCTCTCTCTCGCTCACTCGCTCACTCCCTCACTCACTCTCTCTCTCTCTCTCACTCTCTCTCTCTCTCTCTCTCTCTCTCACTCACTCACTCACTCACTCAGTCACTCAGAGAGCGAGCGAGCGCGAGCGAGCGGGAGAGAGAGAGAGAGAGCGAGAGACCTTGACATCGCCACACACCGAATACTCAGCACGCCCAATTCAAAAGAGCGTGCCCAAAACCACATGCAGCCCATCGCTTGCTTTCCGTCCCCATGGGGGCCCATCCTGTCCTGTCAATCTTTTTCGGTCTTTCGCTTCGGACCCCCAGGGCCCTTCGTCCAAGCGGCTGCAGAGTCGGAGACGTCTGCAAAGGAAGGAGTTTTCTTGTGCGACTTGCTGTGCGAGCGCTTGGGCCGAGGCGACGGCAGCGGGATAAAATCGGGAGCGATCCGCTAGTCTTCAACGGATGGGCGCAGCAAATCGATAAGTATTGGTTCATGGATTCATTCAACGGAGGTGTCAAATGAGAAATCAAGGCAAACAAACATATAATATAGATATAGAATGATAGAGAGAGAGAGAGAGGGAGATGTGCTGGATGGGATATTCTAAATTCATGCCGCACACACCAAGCCCCAAACAGGTTGAGTTCCCTTTCGCCACGACGACACGGGATGCCTCATGCAGGGGTGACATCCCCGGACCCACCCCCGCTCGCGCGTCCGCGGTGGCTCTCGGCTCGGCGCAAGAAATATTCACCTGGGCCAGGTGCACAAAGTCTCATCCGAAAGAACTCCTCCAGCACCGCGGATAGGATGTTAGACACCCCTGGCTCTGTATACACCATCCCTCCACAGGCCACCCTTCCAGTGGTGGCTCTTCAGACGATCCAACTTGTTCAGAAGCTTTGATCCCATAGCTTCGAAGACCACTGAAGACCACTCACTCTCAGGCGCTCCCGGCAATGGCGAAGGTGTGATCGGCACCACAACAGACTCTTTGCCTCAGGCGTGTGCCCACGCAAGGATCGGCACTGGCGCTTCGGCACAGCACTGGAACCGCGGGGGTCTGCCAGCAACTGTGCTAACCTCCCTAGCAAACTCAGGTGACCGCCCTGGGCGCCCCAAACACAATCAGCTGGCAGCCTTTCTGCACCGGGAATTTCACCTGGCGGGCGAAGAGGCTCGAAACTCCAAGCAGGTCGGTCAACGCACCGACCTCGGCGACCCACCGGGTCGTTTCGGTGGGAGTCTTGCCAAGCCAACTTCGCCCTGGGTGCAACCATAATGTATAATTCTCTGCATGAAAAGTTAAATAATCCTTGATTTGGATTGTAAAAACCTCTTCATACAGGGTTCTATTGATCAAGAGTCTACCTTACAGGTGGTCAAGCCTCCCCCCCGAGCGCACTTGCTTTTCTCCGGTGCTTGTGACCGCAAACGGTGCTTGCCCACCACGGTGTGGTCGGCATCCACTGAAAATACATCTCTCCTCTCAGCGCCAGCCAAAACCACCGCCGCCCCAGCCCTGCTGTCCCCAGCTGCTTCCTCCCATGCCTCCTATGCCTCCCATGCCTCCTATGCCTCCCATGCCTCCTATGCCTCCCGTCCCTGCCATGCCACCCCAGCCTCCTCCGCCCCAACCTCCTCCGCCCCAACCACGACGACGCCAACGGCGGCGGCCCCAACGGCGGCCCCCATGGCCCCAGCGCCGCGTGCGCCACTTGGACGAGGCGTGGTCGGCCTGATGCGGGGGCAAAATGAAATGGACTCAGAAGCAATAGCGAAAGAATAGTTATAATAGGAATAATCTCAAACAATCTATTTGCACGCAAGTTCATGACACAAATAATCTCTTGAGTGACCAATAGCGACGGCCTCCAGTTCAGTAGCTCCAACCTACTATCGATCAAAGGTTTCTTGCAAAGTGGTCAAATGACGATCTACATATGGACTCCCAACTTCCCAACATCAACACCACGGCAATCGTAAGATGTTCCATGTCTAACACCCCCAAGGCTCCAAATGAACAAGTCATGTTGGTCATGCACTTGGCCCCAGAAACGAGTGAAATCAATCAAGAAGATGCTGGCTGGCTTCTTGGATCTCTGCTTTGTGGCATGCGGCCAAACACTTGGCTGGCCCTCGAAAATTGCCCTGCCTTCACCCTCTGGACTTGGAGAAGCTCTAGGGCTGCTTCAGGACCTTCCTGTTTCATGGCAGCTTCGAAGATTTCCGCGTCGGTCAGATCTGGGGGACACATTTTAGCCGCCAGCGCCAGCTGCACCAACAGGAGGAGCAAGAACTTGAAGGAAACCATGGCGTTGATGTGTCAAAACACCGACGAACAGGCCAAAACTGCTTTCGCTTGGGGTTTCTAGCTTGAGCAGCTGCGGTCACAGAAACATAATCCCGACTTGTGCGCCCATGTGAGCTCATGTGCCTGACGGCGCACTCCGTCCCCCTTTTTCCCATGCTTCTGGAGCACTCCTGGAGGTTCACCAAGCTCGTCACCTATAACGCTGCGGGACCCGTTCATACCAACAGCCGCGGCCACCGCAACGCCGAATCCAAGTGCTCCCAGAGCCGCGGCCCCAACCACCGTTGCCACCCCCGAGCCCGCCCCAGCCGCCCCAGCCACCGCGATAGCCATGCCCCCAGCCATAGTGACGATAGCCGTTATGCCAGCCGCGGCGCCACTGCCCATCTGCATCGGTCTTCTCAGTCTTCTCCTGGGAGGGCCCCAGATGGTGAGTTTGGCCAGGATTCGTCTATGATCAGTGTGTGCCAAAACTGGGAAGGGTTTTTTTCTCGTCGGGTTCTTTTTTTCCGTGGGCAGCTGGCACTAGCACCGCCCCTTATGGCGTGGCCCGCACCTTCTTGACTTGAAGAAGCGCAAGGGCTGCTTCAGGACCTTCCTGTTTCATAGCAGTCTCAAAGAGGTCCACCTCATAGCTCAACTCATCTTCGTTGTAACACGTCTCTGCATTAGCCAGCAGCTGCTGCACCAGAAGAAGCAGCGAGAACTTGAAAGAAACCATGGCGTTGATGCGTAAACACACGGAGTAATGGCTGCCCTCGCTTGGGGTTTCTAGCTTGAGCAGCTTGGATTAATGGCATCCATAAGAATCCGCCAAGGCTTGAAGGTCTCAACAGGAACATCTGCACAATTGATCGCACATGACTCTACAGCCACCACTGCTCCCTCTTGATACACCGGCGGCTCACCGCGCGGCACCGCGCTGCCTCGGCCGGCTGCGGGAGATCATCGTCTTTGGACCTCGGGACGGTCGTTCGACAGGGCGACGGAGGTGGCAGGTGGGCTGGAGGTGCAACTGGGAGATCTAGATGATACAGGCCTCAGTATTCTTGGCTTTTCGTGCACTTGGACCTTACTTAGAGAATTCTCCAAACTCAGGTTTTTCTCAACTCAGCCACAGAGTTTGGAGACTTTGAGTGGGAGTTTTCACGCCAGACCAGACCAAAAGCGATGTCCACACCACAGGCAGGGGGAGACTCTTCACGGAGAGGTTAAGTGACCTGAACTTGGACCCGTAACCGGGATAGTCGACCTAGAGTCCTTCAACCTCTGTGGGAGGCTCTTTTTGAGTGCTCGATCTGGCCTGTTTCACTTGGTACACACAGAAAGATGCTGAGACCTCAAACCCCAATCCAATCTCAACGACTCCTTTTTAATCAACAACTCCTAACTGGAAGGGGCCCTGCTAATTGGCAGAAACGGTGAGTTAATAGGTACTTTTTTGGAAGTCTTGGTGCCGGTTGCTTTGATCAAAAATATAATCTGCCTGTTTCATAGTCATTGCCAGGACCATGACGAAGCCATGATGAACCGCGCGGCTCTTTTAGCCCCTCAAGAATACGAATACGCGTGGCAGGCGGCCGGCATGCAAATGGCCCACGGTGTCTGAGCCAGAATTTCAAGACCACACTCCATCGGAACGGGGAAGGTCAGCGCTTTGAGCATGCCTCGACTGACTAAGAAAACCCGTTGATATTGTAACGACATTCCAGTCCACATGAATTCTTCCAAAACCATCTCCGGATATCTCCAGCTGACCATCCATCTGCCCGTTCCATCACCTTCCCCCCCACTGAGCATGCCCGAGCCGAACGCGGATGCCGACGTCGTGCGGAGCCATACCTCATCTCAGAGGGAAGCCGTCGTCCTGCTCGGAGTCCGAGGGTTCAGGCTCCAGCGTCTGTGCCAAATGTTGGACCAAGCGCTTCTTCTCCTGTCAGCGGGGCCACCCCAAAAATGGAAGCAAGTGAACCCACCCAGCCACAAATATCCCAAAGTGGCCCAAACCATCCAAAAGCATCCCAACCACGTGCGTGATGGAATCTTCTGTTTTGGGCCGAGGGGGAGTGAAAAAAGCTCTGCACCCTAAAAAGCTCATAGACTCAAAGCTCTGGGGCGAGCTTTGGGCGAGAGCATGCCCCAATCTTCCAGCTTCGGCAAATCTTGCAGGGCTCGTGACTTCGTGGTCTTTCGTCTACATCCTCTACCAGCATTCCTTGGTGGCTTCAGGCTATCAAATGTTCTCCCGTCAAGACCGAAGACCGACTCTGCCACTGGAATCTGCTTCCAAACTGGCTCTCCAAACTCGCTCTGATTCGAGCACACTCAGAGACACTTCCAAACCCTGTCCTCCAAGACATGCATCTCTCTCTGCAAGGCCTCCAGCGCTTTGTTACTCCTAGGCCCCCGCCCCACCAAGCTCGGGGCCTCTGCCGCACCCGAGCCCGTGGCGGCGCCAGCAGCGCCCGAGGGACCCGCGGAGCCCGCGACACGGCTGGGCGGCTGAAAGCTACTCACCGCCGCCACGCCCTGGGTGGCGGCCGCCGCCGCACGCTCGAGCATCTGAAGCTTGTCGGCCAGCGCAGCCAACTCGCCGCCCAAGAGAGCATCTGAAAGGGCAGGCAGGCTGGGTCCAGGTTCAAGCTGGAGCTCTTAAGCCAAGAAGTTGAGGGGGTCCCGAATCTTGTAAAACATGTTTATGTCCATATGCTACAAGACATGTCGAAGTTAATGTTGACATAGAAAGTGCCCGTCCTAGTCCTGTTCCTTCATCTTTGGCTGCCGCCCTTCCAGGAGACCCACTCGCGGGCATCGCAGGCGCAGGCACCGCTGGCGCTGGCCGCGGCGCGGGAGAAGCAGCACTGGCACCCGGGCGTGCACGGACGACCTTGGCAGGGATGGCCTCCACATCAGCATCAGCCTTCATCTCGATGATGTGCTTGGAAACCGTCCCGAAGTCCTCGCGTTTTTCCCCGGGACAGCCACGCGTGTTGAAATATGTGAAAAGTCGGCTATGCTGCATCTGAACAAGTGGAGTATTGAGGCGCGTGCTGTTTGGCAATTTTTGTGGATGTTTGATTTAACAGATTGTTTCACCCCATCCATAAACTATAAACACTCACAAAATCAGAAACCGAACACCCCCTGCAACAGGAACAAGTGCGAACTCCATGACCACTTCTTCTTCTTCTTCTTCTTCTTCTTCTTCTTCTTCTTCTTCTTCT